CCCCAAAGAGTGTGCTGGGTCAAAACAGAATTAAACAGGCAGGTGGTGGCCATGGGGAGGAAGGAAGGTGACCCTGGTATTCCTATGCCTACATAAGGAGAAAATTGCAGGCTGAGACCTCTCCCACCACAGCTCTGCCCCACAGGCCCATGTCTTGCTCCAGGCACCATAGACAGAGAATAGGCTCACTCACAGAACAATTTGTTATACTTCCACCTTCCAGGGAGAGAGGAAGGAAAAAAAAAAAAGAAGAAAAAGAAGAAGAAATCCCATTATCTTTATCTGTCCTTCCCATCGGCCAGAAGAAAATGCAAACGGGGAGAGACAGCTGCTATGAACTCTTTATATTTCACTCAGAAGAGAGTATATCTTTTATTGCATACAGGGATTTCTTATTTGAAAAAAAAAATATTCTTTCAGAATGACCTCGTGGCAAGACAGAGGTCAGGTGGCAGGGTTCTGGGGGTATTGAAAGAGCACTGGCTTAAACCACAGGAATCTCTGAAGGTCACAGGCAGTGACAAGGGAGGAGAAAGGCCTGTGGAGGAGACCACAGGAAAAATGGGTCTTTTCCCCACCTCCTGTTGTATGACATGAACCTAGGTACTGTGCATCTCTGGACTGCTGATTCCCCACTTGTACTAGGAAGGTGATAGCAAACATTTTTTATTCCCTCTGGGGAGTAGAAGAAAGTATTAAGAGGCGTTCCTTAGCTCAGAAAGAAAAATGGCCTGTCCCTGCTACTATGCTCATAGATGCTGAGCTTCTCCTGGTGTCCTAGCCATCATTCCTGGCAGGGGCTTAAACAGGTATATGAGATGGGCAGGTTATTGAAGAATAGAGATGCAAAGAGGTCCCTGTCCAGGTACTGTAGGGTAGCCATGGTATTGAACTCATAGAGCCAGCTTGTACATTGAGGGCGAGGTGCCACCTGGACACTGTGCTTTGAGAACTCCACACTCTTAAAATCTCTGTCTGTGGCTGTCTTTCCTTCCATGTATCCCAATAGCTTAAAATCCAGGCAGAACCTGTGTCCTTCACTTTGGGTCCTGTGATGGTCAATTTTATGTGTCAGCTCAGCAGGACCACAATACCAAGACACTTGACAAAACATTATTTAGCCTATTTGTGTGAGGTGTGGGTATATAAAACTAACATTTAATTCCAGGGTCTTGGGGCAAAGAGATGACTCTCCAGGATGTGGTGGGCTTCTTCCAACCAGGTGAAGACCTACAGCGAGGAAAATGCTGGCCATCCCTGAGCCAGAGGGAATTCTGCATGCAGACGGCCATAAGCTCTTCCTTGGGCCTCCAGCCATCCAGTGTACCTTGTAGAGTTTGGACTTGCCAGTCTCCAAAATCATATGGTTAATTCTGTACAAGACACCAACCCTTCTACACAGAGAGAGAGAGAGAGAGAGAGACAGACAGACAGACAGACAGACACAGAGAGAGAGAGAGAGAGAGACAGACAGACAGACAGAGAGACAGAGAGAGAGAGTGCCAGAGAGACACTCTTCAACTTACCCAGAGTTATGCCCAGATAAGCCCATCCTAAGTGGAACATATGATAGGTAAAAGTGTACCCCAGTTTAGCTCAGCTTTAACATGCTAGAACACTTACACAGAGCCTACAGTTGACCAAATCATCTGACCAAATCCTGCTTTTTCTAATGTGATGAAGATCTCCTGTGTAGACCTGTCTAGATCTGCGTGGGTCTGCCAGTGTCTACACACCACTGGCCGTAGATGGCCATGTGCTATACCACTGTACAGTGGGATACTGGCCCTGTTTCCCTTGTATCCCTGCCAACCACAACTGTCTACACAGTTCCTTTAAAGTCTGAGTCTGGACAAGGCTCATGTAGAAATGAAGGGAATGCTGGGAGAGCTCCAATCCAAGCAGCCATGAGGAGATGTGCTACGGACAAAAGCTGCAGGCTGGGCTTCTGAGATGAGAGAATAATTCATGTCAGGCAGGGGTGGGTAGGATAATAGAGGTTTTAGACTGACTCTTCCTGTGGTCAAGTGTGGGGAAGGGGTGGTCATATGGGGAGAGGAGGCAGCTTGTTAGATACCCTTCACTGTGGGAGCAAGGGACTCAAGAAGAAGTGGAGGGCCCTGCTGTCCTGGCCCTGCCCAGTATCAGCTGACAGGACCTCACCAAGTCTGTGTGCCAGGCAGTCAGGTGGCCCTTGGCACAGATTGATTCATAGTAACAATGACATTCCTTTTTAGACCTTGATATAAATTTTCAAATTACTTTCATCTACATGGACAATTCACCTCACCTCCCTTTCCCCATGAGGCCAGCATAGAAGTGACTTCTGGGTCTCTGAAGAGGCTTCATTTTCCATGCTTTGCAGCCTAGTGTTGGTCTGAAGAAAATCACAGTTTGGGGGATGCTCTAAACTCCTGCTTTAATTTGAAAAAAGGAACCCTGGAAGAAGAGTGCACAGTGCAGCTAAGCAGGGAGGCCCTTGGGAAGACATGGCAGGACTCCACTTCCCCTGGGACATATCTTGCATTCACACTGGCGAGACTGAGTTCTGAGTTTACACTGGCTTATGGATCCCTGCTGTAACCTCCTTGCTACAGGGAGGTGTGGCTCCTTTGGGGCAAACTCAAGAGCACTGTAGTGGGAGAGGGAGCCTGCTTGGGGCACATGGACATTAGCTACCACAGGGAGGACTAGGGTACTGCAGAACTGGAGACCCAGCTGCCTACCGGACAACAGTGGCCTTTCTAGGGCCTCTGTAGCATGCTGATTGAGAATACAACCTCCCTCTGGTGGGCCCTTGATTAAGCATCCCTACAGTTTCCTTCTCTCCTAAAGGATTGAAGAATATGACTTCTTCGGACACTGCAGCCTTCATTTAAGATGGCTCTTGACTGTAGCCTTGAGACACACCACGCCAGCCATGCTATGCTTCTTCATTGTAGATATACTTGACCAGTTTGCATCTTCTGATCTCTGAGGGAAGCAATTCTCCCAAACTAGCCAGTAGTTTCTTCCTCTCCCACATTCTGGGAGAGGAAGATCAGTCATAAGCAGCAGCCACTAGCCCCAACACAGTCTCTCCAGGACAGCCAGCAGGCACAGGAGGTATGTACTTTCTCTGCTTGGAGTTTGATGTAAAATGCTGGTGCTACCCTTCCTGAACTCCATCAGGCCTAAAGCTCACACAGCCATCTACTGGCTTTTAATGTAGCAGAGATGTTATTCTACAGTAGCAACTGAGCCCTACTTCCTTAAATGGAGTAGGTGACTGCTTGCCTTCTCAGGAAGTCACCATATTCTTAAGCACAGAACATGCTCAGCAGTCCCTCTGCCTTCCAGGACCCATGTTCTCCATCAGCTCTTCCCAGGCCTCCACTCACTTCACAGATACTGGTGCTGTGGAGATGAGGGGTAGCCCCACCCTGGGCCCATAGATAAAATAACAAAAGGAATGTGGGTGCTATCTGGTTATCCTTCTGAAGCCATTAGAGAGGACTCTGGCATTGAGAGAGATTAGCCACAGAGCCTTCCATAAAGAAACCAGTTTATTCCCCACTGGTTCTACAGCAAGGGCCTTTGTTCCATTGGATTATAGGGGCCATAATGGCAGCAGAAATAGGTCAAATGCATACAGACATACAAGTCCACACAAGTTATAGGGACCGGTGCCCTGTGATACATACATGAACATACATACCCAAGTGCCCTGATACAAAGCCTCCTCCATGCCCCAAGAACAAGGCACTTAGAGACACCTCTAGTGTAAGAAGGGGTCAGAGGTCCTACACACATCTACTGTCAAGATTAGTGGGAGGAGACAGGGTTAAGAGGGAATATAAGGCATTCAAGAAGTTAACAGAACTTCCTGATGCTCAGGACCTTTAGGCATCAGAATCTGGGGGTAGGTGGAAGTCAGGGAGAGCTGAAAAATCACCCTGGATTTGAACAAAATCATAGATGCCCATCTGTGATCTGTGATCTGTCTTATTCAGCTCAGTGGAAGCCAGCTTAGAGGCCAGATAGGTGCTTAGGGCTTCTGGGGGGTCTTTTATCCCATCCCCATGTTACAAGGAGTCAACACCATCCTCATACCCAGAATCCACAAACATCCACAGCCAGCAGCGTTTCCCTTCTTCTATAGTTCAGATATGCCACATAAAAACTTTCAATGTATCACCCCACTGCACTTTTACTACCAAGTAGTTGCTTTTCTTATCTCTACCTCATAGGCGAAGAAAGGCAGGCACAGATAGTTAAAGTGATTTGGACAAGGTCATATAGCAAGTACCCAGAGATACCAGGTCTCATATCTAGGGGTCACAAACAGTGCTGGGATTGCCCTTTTCCTTCTTGGTATCTTCAGAGCCTTCTCCAGAGGACATCCCCATATGACATTCTGCAGAGCACTCAGGCAAAGTACAGCTGGCTCTGGTGGCATGCCCTTGTTTATGCAGGCCACACCATTTCTTCATGGAACACTCAAGTGCAGTGTCACCCTGCTCTACAGCAGGCCGTCACATCTCATTTTCATCTATTCTCTTTCTCCATCCTCCACGGATGACCCAGATCCCTTGAGCTATGAGTATTCAGCAAAAATTATAGGGATGGCACAGAGGGGAGGGAGAGCCTGGAGGGAACAAAGGCAGTGTCAAGACCTTGGCCACAGGGACTTGGAAGAGTAGCTTTACCTTCATATCCCTACATTCAGATGTGGCACATACAATCCCAGCCCTCAGACCCTCCTAGCACTGCAGAGGCAGTCCTGCCAGTAGAGTTCACCGACAGAGTACCTAGTGACCTGTGGTCCATTTTTTTGTAGGATGCTCATGGACTTGCTCCCACCAATTCCAAGCAAAGTATAAAGGCAAATTCAGCGTGCCTCCCTCCAGCAACTGTTTCTCCTCTGTTCCTGAAGCTCAGATATACATACTGCTGACCCAAGAAGGCAAGGGGTAGCCAAGACCAGCCTCAGGGGTAGCCCTGGGAAGTAGCCCTCTTACCCAGGTCCATGTCTGCAGCTTTGGGCCGATGTGAGCATGGAACATTCTTGAAGATGGCATCTAGGATCTTCTCCTTGACCTGAGTGATGGTGTCACAGTTGAGGATCTTCACTGGGATCTCTGGGCTATTAGCATTATCTGGACTGACACAGCTCAGAACCTGAAGGTGGCAGGGAGAGGTCACATGGATGAGAACAGTATCCCAGGATCCTTCATGAATGATTCCTCCTCTCCATGATGGGCTATGGAGGGGTCAGGGCAACTCCATCCTGTCCAGACAGGAGGATGACATTGTGTCTTCATCATCACTGCAGGAGTATAAACTATATACTTAACTCCCTGTTAGGGAACAGTATTTTAGCTATGAAGGAAGTGATGACAGGAAGGGAGAGTCTCTAACAGAACAGGCATAGAAGCATGTTCAGTCCCTAATGTGTACATCAGTGTGCAAGGGGATACCCCGTTAGCACACCTAGCCCCTCACCAACTCCAAACCCCACCTCTGTGTGCCACTCTTTTCATTGTTCTTTTAATATACAACCACCTACCCCCTTCCCCCATCTCTCTCTCTGATACATACCCTCACACACACGCTCAGTGCTAATGAGAAACTGTGCTCCTGTTTTAAAAGATTTAATAGCTTTGGTTTGGGAAGCATTTCAGGCTGATTGAGGCTGCTGGATCTATTAGAAACTTAATGCATTCTTTAAGTATAAAAAGGCGCCTTTTAAAAACTGCAGTTTCAGGCCCCCCAGTGGCCTCCCTGGCTGTGAACCTGAAGCCCTGGTCAAGGGATAAGGTCACTGCTGGTGCAGGGCCTCTACTTCTCATTTCAGAAAGAGGCAGGAAAATTAAAAGTGTTTCACCAGCTGTTTGCTTCCTTTAAGAAATCCAATGATTTCTCTGGCCATCCTCATGGTGTGTTCTTTCTGTATTGCTGAGGCTTTGGGGGCTTCCTAAGTATGCCCAGTGGAACAGAAAGGGAGCTATGGGGCACGGAAATACCTAGGGGTATGTAAGAGCCAGACAGAGCCTGGGGGACTTGAGGCCAGATGCCCTGCTGTTCTGAGCTCTCAACTACCCCTCTGTCCATACAGCCTGAGTGCTCTGTGTCCCCTTCCTCAGAACTTAACTCCCCCTACCACACACACACACCAATGCCCCTACCAGTAACCATTTCCCAATAGCCTCATCTGGTTTGCAGAACCAGACACCAGCCCTCCTCCTTCTCCATGTGGTGGTAATCAGAACCCTGGCCCTGGATGCCTGCCTCTCATTAGCAGCTAGACTGCTATGAGCACAAATGGGGAACATGCTTATTCCATTAAGAAGAAGGGGGAGCCTGAGTTTTTTTAAAAAAAATCATACTCTCACTTTCAAAATGCGCTGAACTGAAAATAAGAGAGACTGGGTCTCTAAGCTAAATGTCTATGTGGGCCTTTTCCCAGCCACTCCCTCTCTCCTTCTAAGTACTTTCCACATCTCTCCCTTCTGCTCTGACTACCATGCTGTTCTTTTGCCAGGCCATTGATGGGCAGTTCAGCCTCCTCTAAGCAGCAATATGCACTTGTCTGAGCTCTTTCCCCAGAAGAACCATGGTGAGCAGAGGCGTGATCTGTTAAGGTGATTTGTCCTGGCATCCTTCAAGGCAGGCACTGATCTCCCAGAGACAAAGCAGTAACCCACGAAGGACAGAGTCCCAGGCTCAGCAACATGTCATCTACCCCTGGCTCCCAACTGCTTCAAAATCATCCACCTGGTGCTTTCTCTGCAGGTTCCCAGAAAGGCTCTAGCCATCTGGGAGACTCCCAGGGGAAACGTAGCATTCTATCAGGTTCCTGGGAAGGAGTGCAATCTTCCAGTAGTCTCCTGGGGGGCAGGGCATCTAGACAGCCAGTGGGCTCCCAGGGACGGATATCTAAACTCTGGCAGATAGCCAGGTCTATCTTACACTCCAGCAAGTTCCAGGCTATCTAGCACTGAAGCTGGCAACCCAGCAGGCATCCAGTCCTCTAGTAAGCTCCCTGGCAGGTAACCAGGTGAGTGAGCATCTAGGTTTCCAGCAAGCTCAATGGTAATGTGGATCCTAGAACCCTCCATGGGTGTGCTAACTCATTTCCAGCAGGGCAAGGTCACTATCAGCAAACTCAGAATGCCCAGAATTCCTCCAGTCACTGCACATTCCCACACTTCCTAACTTTGTATCTGAGCTGCTCAGCTCAGCTGATCTGTCTGTCCTGGTGCAGTACCATCTTCCTGCATCATTATGGGATGGAGTGTCCCCTCCACATGCAAGAGCACCCTTCCCCACAGTTCTGCCATTGCCAAGCAAAATAATCTCCCATTTGTCTCCCATTCTTTCCTGCTGGTGGTCAGCCCAGACCCACTGATTTTCACATTCTCTGTGAGTCTGTCACCTGACACCAGCCGGTCATAATCTTTTGAATCTTTTGGCTGTGGAATAAAGGCTGCTGCAGTTTGGGGACAGAGTATGATAGTGATCACAACTCCTTTTGTTGCTAGGGGATGGAGAGGGTGGAACAGGAGACATTTAAAAGTATTTCTCTCTCACTAAGAGATCCATTCAAACCTTTTTTTTTTTTTTTTTTGGAAGGGTGTGTTTCTTCTTTGCCATTTTAATTTTAGTCTGTGACTTTCTTCTATGAGCCGGAAACTGAGATGGAGAAGGCCCACAGGCCATGCCTTTGGGTCCTTGGGTAGTCAAGCTGTTGGGACTCTGGGGCATTAAAAAGATGGAAATGGGAAAACCAGAATGGATTTCCAGTTAGTAGAAATAGCTTTGTTCTGAGGTAATCACCTCCCTACGTTGTCATAGGTTCTGAACATGTCTGTATGAGCATCTGTCCCTACCAGCATGACCTCCACCCTCATCCCTGCCAGGCCCTGACTACTCAATTCAGTACCTGTCCTTAACCACACCCATTCTCCAGGTAAAGAGTCATGGAACTATAGCTGAGCCACTGGGGTGGCTTGGTGCATGGGCTACCGGAAGCAGAGGCGAACACACAGGAGAACACCTGCCAGGGCCCTCCAGCAGATAAAGTCAGAAATGCAGTTTGTTCATAATTCTCACCCTTCCTCCTTTAGGGCAGAGCTGACCAGGTGTCAAAGCTGATCTACCAGAGCAAAGGGGAGCAGTGAGGATACTCACCAGGGTCTTGTATTCGATCTGCTGCCGAATGAGCTTGTCCTCACTCAGGGAGTAGCGGGCCTCTCCCGTGATGGCATCGATGGGGCCCTTCTCCATCTGCTGCTTGATGGCACAGAACAGGGAGAAGAGGGGCTCCCCAGCACACTCCTGCAGGAGACAAAATCCCATTATTAGAGCCCTCGGGAGCAAAGGTAGGCAGGGCTTATCCCACCGCTCCAGCTTCCCTGCTCCTGCCTGCTTCTTGGCTCCCTTTTCCCACTTCCTCTTCTGTACTCTTCAGATTTGCATGGACCTAAGTGATCCTGCTCCTTCTTGCCACCTGTCCAGAGCCTGCCCTTCCTTTCTCCCTTTCAACCCCCACTTCCTTCTCCCACCCCACCACAGTTGGCTTTCTCTGTGAACCAGGTAAGAAGCAGAGGTTGGTCCTTTGAAACTCATGGATGGAAGCCCAGCAGCTCAGCTCTTTTACTACCCGGGCTCATCCTCAGTTTATCTGCATGTCTTATGTGCCTGCCCTAGGACCTGTCATCAGCTTCCTTACTTCTGGTCCTGGAAGAAAGAAGAGGATCTTGGAGGGGAGAAGAAACTGGAAACTAATAGGCCACTTGTGTTCAGCTGAAAATGGGAATTTAGCTTTTGGACCACATGGAACCCTCTCAGCTATTCATCTGCCCCCTCACTTGGGAGGAACTAGCCATTGGGGGTATTGTTTCTGAACTTAGGACCAGACATGGGGCTCTCTTCAATTCAGTTCCCTGATAATAACGAACTGTATTTCTTGTGTATTGGCTGCATCAGGTTCTGTAAGAATGTACACAGTAATTGTAGAGTGAAGTGAGGCAGGCTGAGGAGGTAAAGGCTTCCACCCAGGAGGGGAAGAACCATGACAGGGCTCAAAAGTAGTTCTCATCCCATCCTACCTTGAGAAATTTGTAGAGGAGGAAAGTGAACCAATTAGTCAACATCTTCTCGGCCACTGACTCCGTCCTGGCATCAATCATTGAGGAAATAGGAAGAAGAAGAAGAAGAAGACAAAAAGAGGCTGGTCAGAGGCCATGGGATGGGTAGAGTGAGGAAGAACCTGCAACCATCTTACTGATTACTGTGTCTGGTGACCTAATGCATAGGAGAGTCTCGTGGCCTGCCAGGTTCTGGGGGAGCTGAGAACAGAGGTCTTTCTGGAAATCTGCAGCTTGGTATCTGGGCATTCATATGCTGTAAACAGGGGTTTCCTTGTGCTGTCCTATCCCACTTCCCAGTGATAGCAATGGTCCTCACCCAAGATGTGCAGTTGCTACTGGCCTCTTTGGCTATTGAACACTTGACATGTGGCCAGTATGCCTGAGGAGCTGAAGTTTGTCCCCTTTATTTAATGAATTTAGATTGAGTCATTACATGTGGCTGAAGCTTTCCTGTTAGATAGTACAGCCTTAGAGAAACTTGGGAATGCACTGGTTGATGCACTCCTATTGAGAAAGAAAGAAAGAAAGAAAGAAAGAAAGAAAGAAAGAAAGAAAGAAAGAAAGAAAGAAAGAGAGAGGGGGAGGGAGGGAGGGAGGGAGGGAGGAAGGAAGGAAGGAAGGAAGGAAGGAAGGAAGGAAGGAAGAAAGGAAGGAAGGAAGGAAAGACAGAAAGGCAAAACAGAAAGCATGGTGACACTAACTGGGTGGAGCATGGGAAGGAAGGTGTTACAGAAAGTTGACAATAATAGACCAGGTCTTCCACATGAAGCCTGTTACCTTACCCTAGACTCACAGCATTGGCAGCCACACGGCATAGCAGGACAAGGGTATAATTTATTCACAGATATGTTAACATTGTCCTATCTCAAAGTCCACTGCATACATCTAAGGAAAGCTTCTGCAATGGCAAGGATAATTATTTGAGTCTAACCTGTGTCTTTCCTGTCATGACTCTAGCCTACTTGATGTTTTCTTTTGTGGAAGAAGATGCTGTGGTGGCATTGACACTGCCTTGAGCTATTCATGGTTCAGGGATTGACACTTGTGCTGAGAATATGGTCAGTTCTGGAGAAAAATTAGTCCATCCAGACAGGTTTGGTGAATTTGAATACACAGTTGTTAGAAAATACTGATAACTGCATGCTCCAGGTGTCTAGACAGCTGCTGGTATTCAGTGAAGCCAGGGAAGAGAAAGAAGGAAGAATAGTGGAGGCTGGGGACCAGCCAGTGTCAAGAAGAAAAGAAGGAAGTGGGGGAGGGACAACACAGGAGCATCCAGGGAGCACAAGTAGAAAACAAGGAGAGAAGACAGAGACCCAGAGAGAGACCATGAGACCATGCCAGGAAATTGTTGGTGGGAGTGCTAGCAGGCAGCAGCAACCCTAGAATTATGCCAGTGGGTGGCTACACGGTGAAAGTAAAACAAAAATCAAAATTATCTACCTCGTTGTTTGCAGAGCTGTGGGATTCTCTTCTGCACAGCAGCCTTTTGCAGCTGTGTAGACAAGTGCCCCTTCCCACCAGAAAAAAGCCCAAAGCAAACTATTTGGAAAGCTCAGTCGATCTATCTGCCAAGCAAGGTGAACATTACTAGAGTCTGACCTGGAGACGACAGGGCAGAGATCAGGCAGAATGGAGTGGTTCTGCGCAGAGAGCTGGATGTGGTGGTTCCCATCTGCAGATGTACTATGGCTGGACATGGGATCAACAGCCAAGAAGAGAAATGGAATGGGAGTGCCTGTATTTTATAGTCAAGCCAAAGCCACAGAGTAGGCAGGCCTGACCTTGTCTAACCTTGTAGGTTTTGGAAACATGGGATGGGAAGCATGTTTTATTGTGCAAATGAATTTTTCCATGGTTTCATGTGTTTGAACACTGGGTCCTCAGCCTATAGTGACACAGTTTGAGAGGTCATGGAACCTTTTAGAGGTGGAGCCTAGCTGTGGCCACTGGCCACAAAGCTGCCAATACCTTGCTCACTGTGGTGGACTGTGTCTCCTCAAACTGTGAGCCAAAATAATCCATTCCTACTTTAATTTGTTTGTATCAGGTGTTTGGTCACAGTGATGAGGAAACCTAACTGCATCTAAATTTGTCCAGCAGTGAATCCTGAGCCTATGACAGGAGTCAGGAGCTGTTTGCTGGCTGTACTGAGTCAGATGTTCTAAAAGACTTTCACTTCCTGTTTCACAAATTGTAAAATATGTTCAAATTAGTTAGCTATCTGTTAAAATGTAGATTCATATTAGATCTGGGAAAGGCACAAGTGGCTTCATTTCTATAGTCTTGTATGTTGTTCTTGTTGCTGGCCTGTGAGCAGCCTAAGGTCCTTTTCTACTTCTTGTCTTGGCCTAGATGAGGCCAGGTCATAGTGTAACTGATCTCTCCCAAAGAATTACAAGAGAAAATGGTACAATTCAGAAAGCAGAAAGGCAGGGGGATAATGAAAAGCAGATATGAAAAGCCCAGGGATGAGCTGGGCTGTGGCACCTAGGTGATGGTTAGGACTAGCCACCCACAGGTCAGTGCCTCACCCTTAGGAAACATAGCTGATCCCTAGGCAGCCTTCGGGTGTCATGGAGGGCTCCATGAGCCATACATTAGGATTGGCCTGGGGTAGGGTTACTTTGACCCCAGCTGGCTACCATAGGCCTCACTCACCTCCTGAGCAGCAGCTTGGGGTGGTTCTTGCTCTCCAGGTTCTTATCAATGAGGTCAGCTAGTAGCTGCTTCAGCACGTCAGTGGCATACTCTAGCTTGCTCTGAAGTACTGTCATTATGAGCGAGGCCACATTACCTCTGTCACGCATGGAAAAACTGCGCTGAGACTCAAGAGTGCGGATAAAAGATAGTAGAAAGACCTTGTTGTTGATGAGCTGGGCAAAGAGCTTCAGTCCTTTCTCCACACGCTCTTGCCGGTAGCCTGGGACCTGTGGGGAGAATCAGAATCCTAGCATGAGCTTTTGGGTACCCTGTGGACTGTCCCACATGATAGGCTGCCACCCCCTCTGTTCCAGGCTAACACTACCAAGTCCTTCTCAGTGATCAGGCATGGGGCTTCATACCTGTTTAACTTCTATCACAGCCCACAAAGTAGGTAAGTACCTACAGTTTTGAGACACAGCCACTAAGACCAGGAGAATTAGTCACAGTTCACAAGAAGTAGCTATAGGATTTGAACCCACCCATGCTAGACTCTAGAGGCTGAGCCCTTCCCTGATGTTAATACAGAGCCGATGAAAGGCTTATGCCCTTCTCCACCTCCTAACTCTCTGGAGCTTTGAGAGGCCAGAACTGCTGTAGTTTGTGCTCTGCCTGAAAGATTACCAGGCCTGGGCTTCCAGCTAACCTAACACCCACCCTTCCCCCCTCCAACTCCAAAGGTCTGGTGGTCAAACAATCAAGACGATTGGATTTTCCCCTGGACTCTGTAAGCTTGTGCAAGTTCGTTTATCTCTCAGGGACTGCAACAGGCCTCTAAGCAGCATCCTGATGTTCTTTACCCAGAGGAGGAGGGTGTAGGTAAATTCACCTTTCTCCTCGAAGGGTAGATTTTTGGGAAAATTCCTAGGAGGGTTCAATCAGCTTGCAAGATATGCATCAGCCATTAGCTGAGCATGGTGGACAGTCCCTGGGGTTTCCAGAAAAGGGTACAGTAGCCCTGTTCAGGGGACCCTCAGGCTGATGTCTCCCATATGCCCACTAGCAATGGAATGGACAGATGTTCCATAGCCCTGAGAAGGAATTTCATACTACTACTAGCCATAGCCAAGAGACAAATGCTGTGAATATACTGAATGAAAAAGACAAACGCTAAACACTGATTGGGACAGAAAGATAACTCAGTGGTAATCGAAAAGCGGTTTTCTTGGGCAATTGGGAGAGGGACACAGGATCCTAGAGAGCTGGTTCTTCTCTGTCTCTTGATCTGAACAGTGGCTTGATGGGTGGGACAGGTTGGCTCTCTTGGGGATCTGTCAGTCACTAGGCTGAGCAGTGACGTGTGTGGATCACTCTTCATGTTTGCTCCCAAGAAAGCTACTCTTGGGAAACACACCAGACTTGGTCCTTATAGGGAACCTTCTTGGAACACAGAGCAGTGCTTGTCCCCTTGAATGTGGTCCTGGGGGTATGCCAAGGCAGGAGGGACAGCTAATAGAGGTGACAAGGAAGCAACTTAAAGGCTATGTCCCAGCCCCCCAGCTCTTTAAACAGGACTGCCACGTATGTCACAGTAGAGAAGGTGGTTTCAGAGTTGGTCAAGCTTGCAGTGAATTCTATCACCATCACTCACAAGTTGTCAGTTTCTTTACCAGGAAAGTACAGTTGTTCGAAGAGCTAATATGCATATGGATCTTACTCTACGCCAAGTTCTGTTTGGACTGCTGTAGCTATACTGGCTTATTTAATTCACATAGCACTCTAGGGTGCTAACTCTTTTAGGATGTCTGGGACCACACGAAGACATGAGATTCTTCAGGATGCCAAGACAGAAGCCTCCAAGCTAGGCCATAAACCCAGGCAGTCAGTACTATGTCCTACCCTGCCCAGAAGCTATCACATGGGCTCATACAATGCATGAGAGGCCTTTTTCACTGACTATCATGCACGGCTGAGTCACAAAGGGCATCTTTTTACCCTGCTGTCCTCCCAAGGTTTCAACTGGCAGGAACTGATGGAGGCAGACAAGATGGCCCTGTTGGCCCCAAGTCACAGAAAATGGCAGAAATAGTTATTCCCTACATGACTCAGAAGCACCTGTGTTCTGGATTCAGGCTGAGGCATGGGCAGCAGGCTGGTGTCGGCTGGAAGCCAGTTTCAAATTCCAGGCTCCTCTGCAGAGGGCACACTGGGCCTCTGTCTACTGTGCACGGCAGAGATCTTCTGGGAACTTTCCTGGTCGCAGGGCATTCTGGTGGGGCTGGAATCTGAAAGGAAGCCTGTCTGTACCCAAAGCAAGTCCTTTGTCATTCCTCTGGCTACAGTACTTGTACTAGGAAGGACAGTTCTCAGACAACGAAGGGAGAATGACAGAGCCAAGAGGATGCAATAGGTGCCAGGCAGGACAACCTAGCAGCTCATTTTGGCTATCATCATAGCCCCACACCCTGAGTCTCTTCATCATCCTGAGAGGATCCAGTCTTGGCTCCCTTGGGTCCCCAGTCCATGGTGGGCTGATGCAACAATGGCAAAGGATGCATGGTAGCCTCCTTCTGCCATAGCTCAGGCGTTCCTCTACCACTGCCTGCTTCCTCCCAACTTCCTCTCTAATCCTGTGACTGCCCCTCACATGCATGGTCATGCTTTACTTCTGCTCCTCTCCTCTCTCCTCACGATTCCTCTGCTACTCGAACTAACAATAACTGATGATATAGTTTACTGGGCGCTGTGTGCAGTTCACATTATGTGCATGCTTTCTATACATCCTTCTAATGATCTTGGGAAAGACAGTTGCGACCTTCTCAGTTTCTCAGAGAACTTATCACACTTGTCCCCAGGTCAGCCTATTGCTAACAGGAAGTACTGGTTTTTCAAACCCAAATTCCCTAACTATCACCATGGCTTCCTCACTTTTGGACTCAAGGACTGTCTGAAGCCAACTCAGCTTCTCCCTGCAGCCGTCTCAGGCAGAGAGCCTCTGAGATGATCAGGCTGTCTGTTAAAGGGAGGGGTGGCCAACAGCATGTTGCAGTGCAGCATAGAGAGAGGACACTATACCAGCTAAATGGTACCCCATGTAGCTTCATGAAAAGCCACCATGAAGCTACTGCGTGGGATACTCTTGCACCTTAAAAATATTCATATGTCTGTAGTCAGAAAGCATCTGGGGCCCAGGGCAAGACAGTTCTGGCCAGCTTCCTGCAGGAAAGGTACCATAGTCAGCAACCTGGGCTCTGGAATCAGAGAGCCCAGTAACTGGGTGTGGAAGTGAACTCTAATCCCTCCAGAGTCTACTACATTATCTATAAAATGAGATTATGAGGGTCTGTGTCATAATGCCTTATGAACATTAAATAAGATAATGTTCATGAAGTAGTTGGCATATGCTGTGTGCACAGAATCAGCAGTGGTTTTATTACCTGTCTCTGTATGCCCCCTGGACTGCTAGCTTTTGTCTCTGTTCACCAGGAGTTCCCAGATTATTTAACACACATCACTCTCTGTCCTGCTGCTGGAAATAAACACTTTTCTCTCTCCTTTTCTTAGAGAGTGAAAGTAAAGAGTATCCGGAACCACCACTTTCATAGTCTGCCACCCCAGTCAAAGTCAGTCTGGAACCAAATATGTTTTACTGTCCAGATGGTTCTCCACTTTAGCTGAATTCTCTGCATATAAAACTGAGTAGTAAAATTTAATTGTAACCCAATAGGTTAGAATTTAGGAGCCAGTGATGGGTCAAAACCAGGAGTATGTGAGTGACAGGTTTTTTTGTTTGTTTGTTTGTTTTTTGTTTGTTTTGTGTGTGTGTATGTGTGTGTGTGTGTTTTGAAAGTACTGGTATGTGACTAGGGCCAGGAAAGTCTCTTCTCCAAATGCCTCCAGTTGCCTCATGTGGCCTAGCAATGTACCAACACAAGAGGATACTCATCCTTCATACTCTCCACTGTGGTCATGTGTCCCATGAAGCTCAAAGGTTGGAAAACACTGCTTTTACCAATGATGTGTCTCCACACCAAGAAGAACTTTCCATAGAAAGAATAGGCTGGAAACCAACAAAATAATAGTCCACATAAGACCACATAAGGTCCATAGTCCTAGGCTTACACAGGGATGGTAAAGTTGTTTCTGGGCTCAACGTTGACATGGGTTTAGCAAACTCCATTTAAAAGCTGTATCTTCATAACAGACTGGAGATTTTTGAACTAGGGGAATGAGGAAAATAACTCTATACACTTATCCTGGTTAGATTTTTAGATTATTCAGTCTAATGCCCACAGACAGGACATCACTCCCCTTGCTAGTACTACTGTTTCATCTCTAATACAGACAGACAGACATTCTTTTATTCAGATGCATCCTACACTAAAAGCATAGGCCAGGGTCCCCACCTGGTAGGAGTCAGACCACAACAGTGAAGCACACAATCTGTATATGAGCAATCCACGCAGGCACATAGACCATGACCTAAGTGGTTACCACCCTGACTTCTCTAAACCAGGAACTCACATGCTCTTATATGTCCTGAGAAGTCTGGTATCTGGGTGCAAATTAAAGTGAGGCTGAGAAAAGATGAAGACAGGGAAAAGAGTAGAAAAGGGGAGGAACAAAGATGGAGAGTTCAAACAAGGCCATGGATGGAGTGAGTGTCCTGAGATACCTAGTATCTTTTATGCATAAATATATAGCACATGTATAACTACACACACACACATACACACACACACAAATATTGATAAAAACTATAGGTTCATGGCCAGAGAGAATGTGGGAACATTGCCTATAGTCTCTGAAAGTGCTTTGTAGTGTTTATCAGCCAGAGGGGCAAGGAAAGCTTCTCCAAGACAGAACTACCCATTCTCTCATTACAAAATTACACATATGAACACACACATGCATACGCACACACACGTGCACTTACACACAGATATGTCTGCATTGTTGAACAAGCAAGTATGGAGCAATATGAGAGTTACAGGCGTGGGTGTTAATGAGCAGTGTGTGCTGCCATGGTGCACAGTCTGGAGCATCCAAAGAGACCCCATGTAGACACTTCCTCCAACATCAGTAGCTACAACAGGGAGCAAAGGGTCTGTTTTTATTGTGTGGGCCTTGTTCACCTCACATTGCATCTCATTTTTCACTGTTTCATCTGTACTTTCCATGTCCTCCTGATGGGTAAGCAGGACTGAAGGACAGCCAGAGTTCTGGTGCACAGGCTTGCAGCCAAAAGGAAACATGAAGTCTGACAGCCTTGGCTCTACTTCTGGCTCTATCCCCAGCAGCTGTGTGTCCTAGCCACTCACTGGACTTCTCTGCCCCTTTACTTCCCTCACCTGTAAAGTGGCCTCACCTACTTAGAGGGCTCCAGGGAAAGTAGATGGTTAAATGCATGAAAAGGACTTAAAAGCTTAGGAGGCATTTTAACGGCTGTCAACTTCTAATGATCAACTCCCAGGATTCTTATTTTGCCCTGTTTTCCTCATTTATCATTTCTCACTTTTCTGGTATTTATCTTAATAAGTCAATCCAAAGCCCTTTCAGAACAGAGTGTAATTTGAATATATGCATAAACGATATATTGTGCTAGACAGTAAGCTGATTAATGTTTTCAGAAGATGGGGGTCCCTGATAGCGGCACCACAGTGGGGTTTTTCTCATTCTCACTTCCACCTCCCTTCCTCATGTATCACTTGTCTTTCCCCAGGAAGCATCAAGTGCTAAAGTCCCTCATACAGTTATTGAATACCAATTAATTATAAAATTCCTTATATGTGGTTTACTAAACCTAAGTCCATGAACTGCCCACGTTTATCGGGCATATTTTTTTGGTTGTGTATACATTGAGTTGTTTTAAATGAGAATGGCTCCCATAGGAGGCCAGATCCCAGCTGGTGGCACTGTTTGGAAAGGATTAAGATACACAGCTTTATTGAAAGAGATGTGACAGCATGGGTGGGCGTAGAGGCTTCAAAAGCCCATGCCATTTCCAGGTAGATGTGTTCTGTAGTTGTTGCCTCAGATGTGAATTCTTAGCTAATGCTCCCGTGCCATGCTTGCCCGCCTGCTGCCGTGCTCCTTACCTCAATGGCTATGGAGTCACCTTCTGAAACTGTAAGCCCCAACAAACTCTTCCCTCTTCAGGTTGCCTTGGTCATGGTGTCTTATCACTCAATAAGAAACCTTACCAAGACATACATGTATAGTTTTTCTTGGAAGAGGGTCCTTTCTACCTATTCAATTGTGTAAGGGCTCTAGGAGTCCCTGAGACCCTGAAGTGTGCTCTGAGGTTCCCTGGCTTGTCCCTATAACCACAAGAGAGACTAGTTGGTGTTTACAAGCTGGGGAACCGCAGGCAAGCTGTGCCGTCTCCACGGCCTCAGTTTTCTCACTTCTGAACCAGCATGCTGGGTTTGTTGACAAGTGGCATACTGCCCTGCCATAATACCAGCATGGGGGTGGGCACTGACTCTTACCTCAAGGTCCCGTAGCACAGGGTGGTCTTCAATCCCGGGGAACAGCACCCGCATGGTGTAGGTCCTGTAGTCCAGGAAGGGAATCCCAGCTCCATCTAGGTCACTGGTCAGCTCATGGATATCTGTCTGAAGCTCTGCAAAAGCTAGCACAGAGAGGAGCCTGTGAGGAGCCTAGGATGACAGGTCAGCAAGTGAAGTGCTTGCTTTGTAAGCAGGAAGACCTGAACTCGATCCCTATGAGTCTTGTTAAAAAACAAAATAAAACAAACAAACAAAACAGCTGGGCATGGTGGCACACACTTGGAATCCTAGCATTCAGGCCATGGAGACAGGAGAATCCAGGCTTACCAGCCAGATAGGCTACTCTGTTTGAAAAGCTCCAGGCCAGTGACAAACCCTGATTTTTCTTTTCTTTTTTCTTTTTTTTTTAACAAAAACAAACAAACAGACAAACAAAAAAAAGGTGGGCAGAGCTTGAAGAACAATAGCTGAAAATCCTGTCAAATTCTGATGGGACCAGCCTAAGAGTTACACCTCTGAGAATGTTCAGAGCATTTACCCAGGCCCCCAGAGGTGCGGTCTGTGGACCTGTGGATGCATAAATGATGGAACTAGATGACATTAACATAGGAGAAAGCTGGTCTGGGGCCTCATGTTTTCAAACAGCAGAGGGCTGGGCGGGCTGCCCTCTGACCTGTGTTGTCATCAGGATCAGAAGAGACAAGGCTCTGTTTTGTAGAATGTGTTGGGAAGCAAAATATAGAAGAGTAGAACAGAGGGTACAGGACAGAGAAATGAGCCTATGCCTGGTGCTGTATTTTGAACTGGCTTTGCTTAGCAAAGTCAAGAAAAAATTCTTCCAATAAGAAAGGAATTTGAGCATCCAATTCTGGATCATGTCGTTCTCAGACACCAAACGAGGCTTGGGCAGAGGGACTGCCCTTCTAACCTATTTCTTCCGCACGTATATGAAGAGGGAAACCTTTGTTCTTCCTGCCTCAATGTGTTGTTAACTGGTGGTGAATTATAATTGCATATAGGTACTGATGTTTGTGAGGGCAGTTCAGGCCTCCAGGTGGATAGAGTCACAAGACCCCAGCTGGCCCCTAGGAAAAACTGGCATGAGATACAGTCCAGAGCCAAAGCTGTTATATGCCATCCTTGGTACAAAGCCCCCCGAGGCCACCTCAGAGGTGCAGCTGTCAATCCTGCTAAGCTGTGGCATTCTCCTTGGTGCATGCCCACACAGATGTCTGGATGCATACATGCATGCACATACATGCACACACATTAACAGAAGTACTAGCACACACTGACAAAGAACAAGTCAGAGCTGCTGCCTAACAAATATTTCTTTTCATTGATATGAACCTAAGATTAGGAAACAAAGAAAAGTTGGTGGGTTCAGAAGGGATTCACAGGCCAAAAGTAGCTCTAAAGGTGTCAAAGAGCAAGCCCAGTGGACTATGATGAGATGTAAACATGATACAAGCATCCTGAACTGCACATAGAGCCCTGCCTTGTCCTTCCTTGTGACTATGGTAGAAATAGTATAAGATTTCCAAGGGTTTTGATGTCAGGAGAGAACCAAGGATTCCTAGAAAGGACAGGGGACTAAGTTGGACACTGCCAGACCTGCAGCTACTTCTGGTTTTTCCTTCCCAGTGACCCTGGCTTCCTTTTTTATTACGTGGATGCTAGGGTACTTGTTATTCAGTGACACCTGGGACAGAGCCCTAATGCTTCTAAACACACTCTCATGCATGTGAGCAAGTATGTGTACATAGGAGAGCCAGGAGGCCTCTTTGGCATGCACTGTCAGCAAAGCCTAACAAACATGTATTGATGGTTGATCTTAATTGCTAGCTTGAGTGGGTTGAGAAGTACCTAAGAGATTAGTGAAGCATATCTCTGGGTATGTCTGTGAGGGTCTTTTCAAAAACAATTAAGTAGCAGCTACCAATGGATTGAATCATCCTTTGACATATATATAATATGATGTTTCTGTTGAAAGGGATTTGATGTATGCAGGGTGGGGCCTGGCTAGAGGTAGATCACTGGGGTTGGGGGCTGTCCTTGAAACCATACCTTGCCCTGGCCTCTTTCTGTTTCTGCTATTCCTTGCTTTCTGACAGCTGAAAGTTGAACACTCTACCATGCTCCTCCATGATGAACGAACCCTCCAAAACCATGGGAAAAGAAACCTGGTTGGTTCTGTTGGGTTATTCAATCACAGTAATACATACCAACACACCTGTGTATGTCCAGAATAAAGAACACGTATCTCTGTCTGTGTGAGTAGGTAGATAGGTACATGAGCAGGAGTGGGGTGTGTGCCTATTGTAACTTGTATAAGAGTGTGCAAGCATGTCAGTGACGGTGAAGAGTGGAAATTTGTGTTTGCACATGTGCGTGCCAATATATCTAAAGTTTAGGTCTGGGTTGATGTCTTCTAAATGTGGGTGGCTGACAGTGAAGTCTCCAAACAAACCCTTGCCCTGGCCCAAGCTGCCTCATAAATATGCAGCAGCTGTCTTGGCATCCTGGAAAGTACCTCCTCTGCCAACCCTGCAAGATGTCCTTTGCTGCAAGATGCCTCCTTCCACCCCTGAGGAATAACTGTCCCCAGCCAAAAGCCATGGTCCCCTGTGAGACTCCATGGTGGTTCAGCCTGCTGAGCCTTTCTTCCCAGGGGGCTTCTAGAGGAGCCTGGCACAAACCCCTCCCTTCTACTGCCTTCTCCTGATTGGGCTGTTTCACTGGCCAGGAGAAAAAGAAGGGAGTCAGGTTTGATGTGTCTGCAGTTTCCTTTAAGTCGCCATCACCTCCAACATTCAAAGCCTCTCGCCTGCCACACATGAAAGAGATTCTAATCACTACACCTAATTAGAGGGAAGAGTACATTGCAGAGAAAAAAATTAAGCAGTGTAAATATAATAAAAGGCAGTAATTAACAGTCCCACAAGGCAGATGCCTGGGTGACAGCTGAAGGATGCAGAGATGGGATGGAGCCTGGTCCCCATCAAAAAGGTGGTGCTCTCCCTGGGGGAATCTACTACCGAGCCCAGGTTCAGGGATAGATTAACACTGGGTACATATTACCCACAGAGAAATAGCCTAGCTCGTTCCTCCTGGGGTGGCTTATAGAAGCATGTCCCAGGGTTATATGAGTCTGCTTGCAAGGCTGCCTTCTTGGGTTTGACATTGCTGATCTCCCTTCATGGTAACTTGTATACATTTTTCAAATACAAGTTGTGAAATGCATGTCCTTTGAAATCACAGATCAGTCCTACAGAATCCCCTGCCTACTGATGAAAGAGAAGTGAGGATTGCTTGCATGCATCATGTTGAGACACCCTCAAGTCTTCCCTGGAGGAGACTGAACTCCTCTCATCCTCAAGCCAGAGTTCAGAATCTGGACACTGTTCTTGGTGTGTATATGATCCTAGTAACATATCTGGAAGGAGTAAGAAGAAAAACACAAGGTGAGTTGCTAGGCAGGGTTTTGGGCTAGGACCCTGGCTAAGCTCAGAGACTGGCAGAAAGATTCTACAGGTAGAATGTCCATCCTGTGGGGACACCCATTGCAGCCCAGCTTGCAAGCCTGTGAATAGGAGGCGTGCGCGCACGCGCACACACACACACACACACACACACATATATCCCCATCTTCATACACTCAACGTCCATCACTGCCTGCTGTGGCCTAACCTGATGGCCTGTAAATGAAAGATACAAACACACACATACATACACATACATACCTACCATCTAGTGCAGGTCCACCTGTTGGCTAATGCACTGACATACACAAATGGAAATATACATACACATGACCGTAAGCACTGCTAAATGCTGCCCAGTCTGGCTGATGTTGTAAAAGAGGCACATGTGTGTATATGCACCCATGCACCCATGCATACATACATACATACATACACTGACTTACATGTGCTCACATGCATGTATAACCTCTAATACCACCCACTGCTGCCTAGCCTGCATGCTTGCATATGATAGGCACACACGTGTGCACACACAGACTCGAGCACCAGGCACCAGCATCTGCACACTCAGTACCTTCCTTGCATTCCAGGGCCACACGGGACTCAAGGTTGTCCATCTGCATCTGTAGCCGCTTTAGCGTGAGGTCACTTTCTCGAGACTTGCGTTTGTAGGCGATGAGGACTGCCACAATGAAGATAATGAGGAGGCCACCAGCCACTGCAATGCTGACGATGGCAGGGAGGCTGAGTGGGCTGTCTGGGGCAATGTACACCATCCCAGGGGAATACTCCATGCCCCCCACCCGTGCCTGTGGACACAGAGAAGAGAGGGTTGGTAGAAGAACAAACTGAGGAAGAGTTCAAGGTCAGAAAGAGAGCATGAGGAGCCCTCCCTCGTCAGAAAAATAAAAGAGAAAGTGTGGACTACAGAGATCACTCCTCAACTAGAACTTGCGCCCATTCTCTCACTCAGGAGGACACTGGTGTCGTAAGGAAACAGCTCACAACTGCAGTGTAAGCACAGTGATGCAGCACCAACTGACTTCCCCGAGAATCATCCTGCCACCTATGTTGGGAGCCTAGACACATAAATGGTATCATGGACCACTCTAAGCCAGTGAAGGTCCTTTTCTAAAAGGCTCTTTTGGTCCTAACAGACAGTTTATGACTCTATTTAATGTTTTGCCCTTCTTTCACCAACGAGGACAGAGGGGGTGACAAAGCAGAAAAAGCTGGCCAGTGGGGCAAGAAGATGGAAACTGGTATGGAGTGAGCTGGGAGAAAAGCTCACAGTGGGCAGAAAGTGCTCTTAGGAGGTTCCAGGCAGCCTACATGTAGCTGAGCCCCTCTCACAACCCCCATGGCTGTTCCACATACAGTGGGGCCCCAGTAGTCTCACCATCACTTTGTGCCTGCCGATGAGGTTAGGTGACTCACAGAGCAGCTGCACATCTGACACTGTCACTGTACATGGTTTCTCCCCAACAAGCACAGTGTAGTTCAGCTTCACATTGCCTCCAGCCACAGGTGGGATCAGGTTCTTGCCCTGAACAACAGGAAAGCCATCAACCTCAACCTTGAGTCAGGACCACAAATGCTGGGGCTGCCATGGCCTCCTACCCAATATCCCATCTTATGGATGAACTAGGAAAGAGGCCACCATCAGCAAGAAGTCCAAAGAATTGGTACATGTGTTAGATGTGGTGTGTTACCACTTTGGTCCCTAGTACTGTAAGAGATAATGTGACCTTTAAGATGTGGAGTTTAATGGAAGATCATGACTTCCTTTCTGGTTCTCTGGTCACATGTACTAGGAGGTCCTCATGAGAACCAGGACTGTTTTAAGGTCTTTTATTTTCTAGAACAATGAGGCAAGTTAACTTTTCTTCTTTATAAGTATCCAGCATCAAGTATTTTGTGACAATAACAGAAAACAAATTAGTACATGATATATACTAATATTCTCTCATCTTCCCCATAAGAAACCAATAACTGATAATTAAAATGAAAAAGCTTATCTGGAATACCTTTAGGATAATGGGAGTACCGGGCTTGAGTTCCAGGATTCCTGAGGGACTGAAAGCTTCAAACACAGGGTTAGGGTAATAGGTGAAGTTGGTCTTGTTGAGAATTAGCAGAGATTGGACATTGTCTAGGATGAAACCAAATTCTTCAGGTCTTTCGGTGAGATCTGACTGGTGGTCAGGATCCAGGGCAAGAGCTGGGGCCTGGCAGGTCATCTCAGTAGCATTCAGGACCTCACAGATCTGCAGGAGTCAGAGGAAGGGGCGATCAGAACTCTCTCCACACCAGGACTCCTGGTGTGCTGTCCATGTGGCATGGGGTTGATATGGAAGGATTATGGAGGAGGGAACCGGGATCACATATTTGGCTACTCACAGATTCCACCCTGCAGCTGTCTCCTAGCTCTGGCCTTGCCCAGTGTGAATGTAGTAATGACTAGGTAAACTAGGTAGGAATTATGGGTAAGAATGGGACCCCTTGAGCTGCACACATAATTGGTCTTTCAGGCCTATAGCCTGTGAAAAGCTGTAAATATGGTCTGGTCATGTCAATTCCCTACCCCACCATTCCAGGACTTAAAGGTATCTCATGCCATGAGTCATTGTATGTAAGCAAGGACCTGCCAATGGACTCACATTGATGTGCTCTTTCCCTCCATGCTTGGCACGGATCTGGGGGTTCTGTATGAGGTCCAGGTGAGTTCCCCAGACAGCGATAGGTGTGTTCCCACTGCCCAAAAAGAAAGAAAGGAGTGTGTGAACCACAGGCATAGGAGATATAATGGCCATGACAACAGTGGTCATCAGGATGAGCCACAACAGTCAGGATGAGCCACAACAGTCAGGATGA